CCTAGTCTTATTGCAACTTGATATGCCATGTTTGGTTGATATCCCTGGGAGGCTGCTCTTTTCTGAAGGGAAACAGAAGAGTGATGGGGGAGAGGAGAGGTAGAGGGGAGGGATTGGGAGGGGGAGGGGAAACTGGGGTCAGGATGTGATATATGAAAGAAGAAAAATTAAGAGCTAAAAATTTATGCCAGGTGTTGGTGGCACTCGCCTTTAATCCTGGCACTTGGGAGGAAAACAGGCGGATGGATCTCTGTGAGTTCAAGGCCAGCCTGGTCTACAGAGGGAGTGCCAGGATAGGCTCCAAAGTTATATAGAGAAACCCTGTCTTGAAAAAAAACCCACAAATAAATAAATAAAACCTAAAAAATTAAAATTTCCCAGCTTATGGTAGACTACTATGGGTAGACTACTATGTGTAGACTACTGTGGGGACACCAGACCTTGAACAGAGACCCACTTCCCCTTAGGCCTGGGAGCAGGCAACTGTGAGATAATGTTTACTGAAAACAATTCAGTGCTATAAAGCTCTTGATAGGGCTCAGATAAGGGCTTGCTCACTGAAACACCATGACTTTGATCCCCCCTACGGCTAGATGCCTATTCCTGCTCCCAGCTGTGTCTCCCTGATTCTGGGGCTGGAGATTAAACCACCAGCCAGGAGGGTGAGAAGTCTGGGAGAGCTGTGAGAGGTATGTGAGAGCTCGGTTGGAGAATTGTATGTAGATGGATGGCAGAAGTCCTTAAAAAGGGGAGCGTTTTTTCTTGGGGGGCCCCTCCTAAGCTGACTTGGGAAGCATAAAGTTTTCTTAAAGCAACCGACCGGTCTCTGTGTCATCTATCCCGACCACCTCGCTACATTCGCAGATGCAGGCTGCGCAGGCAGGTACAACAGACTACTATGTATAGACTATTATGTGTAGAGTACTATGGGTAGACTACTATGTGTAGACTACTATGTGTAGACTATTATGTATAGACTATTATTTGTAGACTATTATGTGTAGACTACTATGTGTAGACTATTATGTATAGACTATTATTTTGTAGACTATTACAGGTAGACTATTATGGGTAGATTATTATGTGTAGACTATTATGGGTAGACTACTATGTGTAGACTACTATGTGTAGATTATTATGTGTAGACTACTATGTGTAGACTACTATGTGTAGACTATTATAGGTAGACTATTATGGGTAGATTATTATGTGTAGACTACTATGGGTAGACTATTATGTATAGACTATTATAGGTAGACTACTATGTGTAGACTATTATGTGTAGACTATTATAGGTAGACTATTATGGGTAGATTATTATGTGTAGACTATTATAGGTAGATTATTATGTGTAGACTATTATGTGTAGACTACTATGTGTAGACTATTATGTGTAGACTATTATAGGTAGATTATTATGTGTAGACTATTATAGGTAGATTATTATGTGTAGACTATTATGTGTAGACTATTATAGGTAGATTATTATGTGTAGACTATTATGGGTAGACTATTATCTGTAGACTATTATGGGTAGATTATTAAGTGTAGACTACTATGGGTAGACTATTATACGTAGACTATTATGGGTAGATTATTATGGGTAGACTACTATGGGTAGACTACTATGTGTAGACTACTATGTGTAGACTATTATGTATAGACTATTATGTGTAGACTATTATAGGTAGACTATTATGGGTAGATTATTATGTGTAGACTATTATGGGTAGATTATTATGTGTAGACTATTATGGGTAGACTACTATGGGTAGACTACTATGTGTAGACTATTATGTGTAGACTACTATGGATAGACTATTATGTGTAGACTATTATAGGTAGACTATTATGGGTAGATTATTATGTGTAGACTATTATGTGTAGACTACTATGGGTAGACTATTATGTGTAGACTACTATGGGTAGACTATTATGTGTAGACTATTATAGGTAGACTATTATGGGTAGATTATTATGTGTAGACTATTATGTGTAGACTACTATGTGTAGACTATTATGTATAGACTATTATTTGTAGACTATTACAGGTAGACTCCTATGGGTAGACTGCTATGTGTAGACTATTATGGGTAGACTATTATGTGTAGATTATTATGGGTAGACTATTATGGGTAGATTACTATGTGTAGACTATTATGTATAGACTATTATTTGTAGACTATTATAGGTAGACTATTATGGGTAGATTATTATGTGTAGACTATTATAGGTAGACTATTATGTGTAGATTATTATGGGTAGACTACTATGTGTAGACTATTATGGGTAGACTATTATGTGTAGACTATTATTTGTAGATTATTATGTGTAGAGTGCTATGGGTAGACTACTATGTGTAGACTATTATTTGTAGACTATTATAGGTAGACTATTATGGGTAGATTATTATGGGTAGACTACTATGTGTAGACTATTATGTATAGACTATTATTTGTAGACTATTACAGGTAGACTCCTATGGGTAGACTGCTATGTGTAGACTATTATTTGTAGACTATTATAGGTAGACTATTATGGGTAGATTATTATGGGTAGACTACTATGTGTAGACTATTATGTATAGACTATTATTTGTAGACTATTACAGGTAGACTCCTATGGGTAGACTGCTATGTGTAGACTATTATGGGTAGACTATTATGTGTAGATTATTATGGGTAGACTATTATGGGTAGATTACTATGTGTAGACTATTATGTGTAGACTATTATGTATAGACTATTATGTATAGACTATTATTTGTAGACTATTATGGGTAGATTATTATGTGTAGACTATTATAGGTAGACTATTATGTGTAGATTATTATGGGTAGACTACTATGTGTAGACTATTATGGGTAGACTATTATGTGTAGACTATTATTTGTAGATTATTATGTGTAGAGTGCTATGGGTAGACTACTATGTGTAGACTACTATGTGTAGACTATTATGTGTAGACTATTATGTGTAGACTATTATAGGTAGACTATTATGTGTAGACTACTATGTGTAGACTATTATGTGTAGACTATTATTTGTAGATTATTATGGGTAAACTACTATGGGTAGAGTGCTATGTGTAGACTATTATGGGTAGGCACGAGCTCCCAGTTCCCTCCACTTCACATTTTTGCCCATCTGAGCCACCTCTTGTGCAGAGGCCTTAACAAAACAAAGGTTTGGAGAGAAGCACTCAGACCAGGGCTATCAGCACCCTAGGGGTTGTTGGCCGGTGGCAGTGTGTCCTAGCCCCAGAAGGGCAGAGACCCCTGCCCTCAAGGTCTGTCTGTGTCTCTGCAGGTCCAGCGGCTCCTGTATGAGAACCCCGGACCGGCTTCTCCAACCGTGCTGCTAATCACCCAGCAGCTCAGCCTGGTGGAGCAGGCGCACCACATCCTGTTTCTCGAAGAAGGCTCGGTTTGCGAGCAGGGCACCCACCTGCAGCTCATGGAAAAGACTGGAGGTCGCTACCGGGCCATGGTGGAGGCTCTCAAGGCTCCTTCAGATGGACAGGCCTCTGGACCTGCCGACCGCCCTCCAGCACTGTCCTCTGCTAGGTGTGGCGGAGAACCCGGGAGCAAAGATATTATCACACCCATTGACCAGGCTCAGTTGAGGAACTGAGGTACTGGTCACAGGATAAAATGTAACATCTAGGAGACGGCTGGAGTTTACCATGAATGCTATTCCCACCCCGGCCCCTTAGATAGAGTCGATTTCAGGTACCTCAGGCTGACCTTGAACTCCTGCCTCCCCCCCTCCTGGTACTGTTCTGGTATCACAGCACGGGCAAACCTGGTTTATGCGGTGTTGGATGAGAAGAAATGCTCACAGTGAAGCAGTTTGGGATTAACGGAAGGCATAGGCTGGCCTATGGATAACCCGTGAGCTACTGATATTTATAATAAAACTGGCGTTTTGTACTGCGGCTTCTCCCGTTTCTCTGCATCCACAAACGGCTCACCGAGTTAGCCGGGGCTCTTCCCCACACGCAGCCCCTCTTCACAACTCTGTTTTACTGCTGGGTCCTCCTGTTACTTACTCACCGCCGGATTCCCGGGGCTGAGCAGGACCGGGAGGTACCCCCCCCCCCCCCCCGCCCTCACCACACCCCAAGGCATGGCAGCTACATCTCAGAGTCCCACTCTTCCTCGCTGAGGCGGGAGGAAGCTCAGCTGCGGGTGGGGAAGCCAGGGTGCCACACCTCGACCTCTCTGATCCTTCCAGATCCTCTTGCCCGGCTCCTCGGGGGCACACGCACGGGGGATAATCTCAAAGAAACCAGCAAGATTATCTAGTGAATCTCTTCCATTCAGAGAGGGGCAGGCGAGTGTGACGCCAGCAGTTGCTGGGCAGATGAGGTCCGCACAGGTTGCAAAGAGAGGCGGGGTTTAGAAAGTTAGGAGGGAGGAGAGCTCAGCTCAGACTTGAGCTTGGCGAGCAGCCCCGGGCAGAAGGGCGCGTTCTCGTGGGTGGCCTACGGGTGGTGAGACTGTTGAGCCGAGAGGGGCCCTGGGAGGGACCACAGGGAAAGACCCGAACTGCGCCCTCTCATTGAATGACATATCCTCACGCACTGCGGTGTCTCCCCATGCCATCCCGTCGTCCCAGGACCTAAGGACCCCTTTTATCGTATTTTCCAGTTTCTCTAAAATGATGCTCGTTTGAATGCTGCCCGGCCCCCAGACAGGGACCTGGGACGCACGCCTAGGTGACGCTGGCTGCCCGATACTCCTCTCTTTATCCAGACCTCCGTTGTTCCCAGAGGATGCCGGCCGGTGCGTTCTCACGTACCCCGCTGCTAGGCGGCCTCTGCAGGCGAGCCTCTTCTTCCATCCCGCGGCCCATTCTCTAGCTGGATTCACCGACCGGGCCGCACGGAAACTCGTCCCCAGTATGGCATTCTTAGTTCAGACACCCATTGATTGGGCTCTTCTCGAAAAGGGCAGGAGATGGAGGGGGGTGTCTGGTTCCCTCCCCTCCGTGCTGTGGCTTTCGCTTTCACTTCCTTGTCGGAGAGTCGACGGATCTCCGGGGCTGGACGGTCATGGCGTTACTGGATCTGTGCGGAGGCGCTCGGGGGCAGCGCCCCGAGTGGGCCACCCTGGGTGCAGAAAGAGGGTATCGCTCGGACCCGGGACACTACAGTTTCTCTGTGCAAGCTCCGGAGCTCGCACTTCCACAGGGGATGCAGGTGAGGATTGTAGGGACTCTCGAGAGATGCCTGAGGGAGGCAGAGGAAGGAGGGTCTGCCTGGATCTGAGGGGATGAGGAAGCCTGGAGGGACTGTCCAGGAAGCAGCATCCAGGCGGTCCTTACAACCCACGTGGGGATGAAGACACGGGAGAGAGGAAGAGAGGGAGGAAGGAAGGGAGGGAGAGAAGGAGACAGAGAGAGAGAGAGAGAGAGAGAGAGAGAGAGAGAGAGAGAGAGAGAGAGAGAGAGAGAGAGAGAGAGAGAGAGAGAGAAGGTGAGGGTGCCCATCGCAAGGCACTGCAGAAATCACCACATTCACAGACTGGCCACTGCTGCATTGTGAACTTGGGTGGCTAATCTGGCCTCAACAGCCCACCCGTGTGCGTCCTAGAACACGTTAGGCAGTCTAGGTCTCAAGCCTCTCAACTGTGAAATGAGAACATGTTAATAAAATGTGCTTTGTGAGACCTGAAGGAGCCATGGATGGGGAAACACACCTTGAAGTCAGTTACCGGGACCTTTGTCCCCTTGCACTGGAAACCAGAAAGGAGGATGGCCATGCCTTTCCTCCGCCATCTAGAGTCTGGCTGTTGGTGGTTAGAGAATCCCGGACCCTTCCTCAGCCACTGCTCTCCGAAAACCTGCCCGGGAGTCTGCTGCCACTGAGGTGTCCAACGCCACCTTTCCGTCCTCTTCTCCCTTAGCCCACGGACTTCCTGAGGTCCTTTGGTGGTGACCAAGAAAGGAATGTTCAGATTGAGATGGCCCACGGCACAACCACACTAGCCTTCAAGTTCCAGCATGGAGTCATCGTGGCCGTGGACTCCCGGGCCTCTGCGGGGACTTACATCAGTGAGTACCCACGCGAGCTCTGCAGCCAGGGTCTTGGAGCTGTTCTCTGAGCCTGAGGGCTGCACACCCCTCAGGATGGAGCAGCTGTGGCTCATTTCCTTTGATCTCAAACCCTTCTAGGCACCTTAAGGGTGAACAAGGTGATCGAGATTAACCCTTACCTGCTCGGCACCATGTCTGGCTGTGCGGCTGACTGTCAGTACTGGGAACGGCTGTTGGCCAAGGAATGCAGGTGGGCAGATTTCCTTATCTCCTTCACTCAGTCCTCAAATCTTGCAGACCCCTTATCCACACTGATCCAGCCTAGCGCTAATAAGCGATTTTTTTCAAAAAGCCTTTGTGCGATGAAAAATCCCCCAAATCTTAGTCCTCACCCCTGCTTATAAGCCGGGTAGTCTATCGATTATTTAATGTGGACACCATCAACCCTGTAGGATTGGTGTCCCTTTCCTGGGCCTTTTGAAAATGTGGCTCAGGTATCGTCAATTCCGAATCTTTCCTCTGTTCTTACGCTGTACCAGTTCAAACCTTCCAAGCGCTCATCTCCACAACCCTCTCTTGCCTCTGGCTTGCCGCCCCTGAGGCCTCCTTCCTCCTCCCCTAGGCTGTACTACCTGCGGAACGGAGAACGCATCTCCGTGTCCGCGGCCTCCAAGCTGCTTTCCAACATGATGCTCCAGTACCGGGGCATGGGCCTCTCCATGGGCAGCATGATCTGTGGCTGGGACAAGAAGGTGGGTGACCTGCTCCTGTGCTCCGCACCCTGGGTGAGCTGTCCCTCACCCACTGAACACTACCCACCCCCCATCCAACACCAGGTTTTGATGTTTGCCGAAGCGCGCTGTCTTAAGTGTGCCGTCCACTCCTTGGGAGTCCCACTTGAGTCTCTTTATACCATCAACAGACCATTTCCAAATTTAACTCAGGGTGGCCACCCATCTTCTAGGGCCCAGGACTCTACTACGTAGACGAAAACGGGACTCGGCTCTCGGGACGGATGTTCTCCACTGGCAGCGGGAACACCTACGCCTACGGGGTGATGGACAGCGGCTACCGGCAGGACCTCAGTCCCCAAGAGGCCTATGACCTTGGCCGCAGGGCTATCGTGCACGCCACCCACAGAGACTGCTATTCCGGGGGCGTGGTCAATAGTAAGAGACAGGCGTCCCCCAAACACCTGGGAGAAGGGGTGGGGATTTAGGCTGGGGGAGAGGATGGAGAATTTTCAGATCCCAGAAAAGGGTTTTCAGCATGCGTGCGTGCGTGCGCGTGCGTGCGCGCGCGTGTGCGCGTGTGCGTGCGTGTGTGCGTGTGTGTGTGTGTGTGTTGGGGTGGGTGGTGGTGGTGTGTGGGGGTGCGCGAATGCCCATGTAAGTCACCGATGCCACCCACGCCACACCACTGAAGGCAGGGTTGACGCCGTGGTCTTTTCTCAACCGCTCACAGTGTACCACATGAAGGAGGACGGTTGGGTGAAAGTGGAAAGTTCGGATGTCAGTGACCTGATGCACAAGTATCGAGAGGCCAATCAGTGATGGAGGAGGCTGCTGGGAGGGGTTTCCTGGGAGCCCAGTGGACTCGGGGCCTGCGGAGACTTCAGAGCCAGGAGAAAGAAGGGCCCCACCTGGGCCAAGGACAGAAAGCTCCGAGGCCATGGAGACCACCAGGTTCCCCCTCGGTCCCACCGAGCACCCCATCCCCGGAAAGTCTTCTAAGTACAATAAAAGAAAACGGTTATTACGTGTCTCTGTGTGGTGGCTGAATGGAGTCAGGCTTGGGTCCTTTGGAAGGAGGGAGAGGGAGCTAAGAGGAAATCAAGTGGGACTCAGATGGGAGCTCAGATGAGGAGTTGGGCATCACCAGGCTCTTCCTGGGCATCCTCCGTAGCCGCCCCTCATCCTGGGCATCCTCCGTAGCCGCCCCTCATCCTGGGCATCCTCTGTAGCCACCCCTCGGGGGAACCCATCATCTTTCTCTTGTTTTCCATTTTGTTTGGCCCACAGCCCTTCCTGGAGTGTCATGGTCTGGGGACTCCAGTGTGGCCCCTGTGGATGTTTTGACTGGGAGGTCTTAGAGACGACTGTAAACAGTGAATAACGTAACCTTTGTGACATTGGATATTGAGTGTATGGATGCTGTTGGGGTTCAGTTTCACACTGTTGGGGTTCAGTTTCACGATGTGACTTCTAGGCGAGAGAGAGCAATGAGGAGATGAGCAGGACTCCCTGGGGCGAGGGAAGCAGGGGAAAAAAGAAAAGACAAGAAGGGAATTCCTGGAAGCTCAGGAGTGGTCAAGAGCCAGGCCATGGGCTGGAGGACAAGACCGAGCGGCCAGGTAGGAGCTTGCTTCTCTAGGGTGTCTGTCCTAAGGTCCAGAGCAGGGAAGGGTGGCCCTGTAGCAGGACCAGCTTCAATGTTGTCACCTCTCCCCAAAGCGATTCACGGGTAGTCACCCCAACATTTCAAAGGGGGACTTTTTTTTTCGAGACAGGGTTTCTCTGTGGCTTTAAAGGCTGTCCTGGAACTCGCTCTGTAGACCAGGCTGGCCTCGAACTCACAGAGATCCGCCAGCCTTTGCCTCCCGAATGATGGGATTAAAGGCGTGTGCCACCAACACCCGGCTTCAAAGGGGGGACTTTTAAGCATTTTTATTTATTTTATTTTACTTTTCCTTTGGCGGCAGTTCCGACCCACTGAGTCATCTCTGAGAGCGGCGCTTTGGTGGAGGGACACGGCCATGTGCAGCAAGGACACTTTGTTTTCTTGGCTGAAAACGAAACCGGGTGCCTCATGGCTCTCTCTGTCCTTGAGCCCCGAGGGCTGATTTCTTCCATAACCTGGGCTCTGGGGGAGGAAGTCGGGTAGAAACTGTAGCTGTTTGGCAGTGTTAGCCTACAGCAGCAGCCCCTCCCTCACACGCAGCAGGCCCTGGCACTGACCCAGGACCCTCGCCGCAGGTGCAACACGGAGAAGGAAGTCTGAGGACAAGGACCAGAGCCTCCCTGGCTCAAAAATCTGTGAAAGCAAACCTTGGGGCCTGGCGCTAGGCCTTCTTATTCAGGCCGTGTTTTACCTCAAGAACCCGGGTCCTGAGTTTGCCTGGAAAACAAAACAGCCGAGCCCCTCATCTCTCCCCACTCCCTCCTCCCCTCTCTGTCTTTCCCAAGGTGACTCCAACTGGGTCTCCTGTGTGGTCCGTTGTCATTGTATGGGCGACCCGACCGGGAAGGCACCAAGAACCAGGCCCTTCGCCATTTTCTTCCTTCTCTCTCCTCCTCCACTCTCTCTCCCTTTCTCCTGCCTCCTCCATTCCTCCCTTCCCCTTCTCTTCGCTCCTTTCCTCCTCCTCTGTCACCTTCCTCATACCAACTGGAGACTGAACCTAGAGCTCAGCCCAGTGTTCTCTGTTTCTGAGCTATGTTCCCAGCCAAACGAGCGCTTCTAAAAATAGGTTCGGAGCTCAAGACAGTAACCAGGAAAATGCAGGGTTGTGGGGATCTCCTTCCCCCCAATACAAAGCATCTCAGACCCTCTGAGAGTCTTGCTAGTAGCTGCCATGGAGGGTGAGCCTCCTTGGGGAACTCCTGCGCTCACAGCCGCCCGTAGGTTGGCAGACGCCGCCTGCTGGCCGCTGTGCGCAGCACCCGGACCTGGGCCGTGAAGTGAAAGCGAAAGCCAGGGACTCGGGCGGACGCCCTCATTGCGAGACCGGCGTCGCTGGCACACCCAGGGGATCCAGTTTGGGGACAGGCAGATTTCAGAAGCGCTGCTGAGCGGCTGCCCCGCAGGTGAGTTCTTGTGGACAGAGCCCCAGCGCCAGCAGGGGTGCGGTCTACACCCAAACCCTTGGTGTCCCCATCTCGCTCCCTTCTCCGCGCGCTTGTCTTAGGTCTTCTGCGGGGGGCATTCCCTGCCCCGCGTCCTCTGGCCCTCTCCCCTGCCTGTTCAATGTCCCAGGTCCTCTGCTTCAGGACCTGTGTCCCGCTCCCAGTGTCCCAGGTCCCCCGCCTCTCATCCCTTGCCCAAGGTCCTCTGCTCCACTCTCTTGCCCGGAGTCACTTGGCACTTGTCTGCTGTCCGGCGCCTCCTGCCGCTAATCCGCTAGTCCTCCGTGGCCACATCCCGCCGCCCCTGCACCCTAAGGACCCGGGGACTTCTGGAGGAAGTGTGACTTGGGACTGACTCTTCTTGGTTAACACTAAGAAGCTTCAAGGGGACAGGCGTGGTGGTGGCAGCAGACCAGCCACCCTCCCCACCCGGCCCGTGTGTGTGTGTGTGTGTGTGTGTGTGTGTGTGTGTGTGTGCGCGCGCGCGCGGGTGTGTGGTGTGGCTTTCCTAGTCTTCCAGCATGCCACCTATCCCAGGAGAAGTGTGACTAGGAGGGGACCTTTCCCGGTGAGGCTGAATAAAATGAGGAAACCTGAGAAGCCCGATGTGGGTTTGGGGCAGGAGGCAGGTGACCAGGGTTGGAACTCAGGCTGCCCTAATTTCTCCCTTTCTCCCTGCAGAGCCCACCATGGCGCTGGCCCACCTGAGGCCCTGGGCCTCTCTGCTGCTGGTGGACATGGCTTTACTTGCACTGCTGCAGGGGTCTCCGGGAAATCTGCTTCCCCTGGGGCTTCCAGGACTGTGGCTGGAGGGCACCCTGCGCCTTGGAGGGCTTTGGGGGCTGTTAGCAGTGGGGGGGCTGCTGGGACGTGTGGGGACCTTTCCGCCCTTGCTCTGCCTGGCTACCCCGCTGTTTTTCTCTCTAAGAGCGCTGGTGGGAGGCACCATGAGTTCCCCAGCAGTCAGAGTGGCCTCTGCCTCTTGGGTCTGGCTGCTGGCTGACTATAAGGCTGCCGCGCTGGGCTGGGCCGTGTGGGCTGTGCTGAGCCCTCCAGGAGCCCGGGAGAAGGAAGCAGGCCAGGAGAAGAACAAGAGTCTGATGTGGCAGTTGCTGAGGCTCTCCAGGCCGGACCTGCCTTTCCTTATGGTCGCCTTCTTCTTCCTGGCGTGGGCTGTGCTGGGTGAGAGGGAGGGGCCACGGGGAGAGGGAGGTGGGAGAGGCGCCTTGGTGGGGATGCAGCCTCCTGACCCTTCGTGCCTCTTCCAGGGGAGACCTTAATTCCCCACTATTCCGGTCGTGTGATTGACATCCTGGGAAGTGATTTTGACCCGGATGCTTTCGCCAGCGCCATCTTCTTCATGTGCCTGTTCTCTGTGGGGAGGTGAGTGGGTGACTGACTTCGGGTCCCTTTGGCAGACCCGTGTCTGGACAGGCGCCCCTCCATCCCGGCTTTGATTTGCACAAAGCACACAATACTCCAACTGAAATATGCACATTTGTTTGTCCATCACAGCTGACTCCCATCCGTCAATGTGTCCCCTCCTTTGTGTTTTCCAACGTCCTCAAAGTTTGATTTTATGTCTTAGGGACAAGTAGGAGGGTGGTGTGGAACAGTCACATGGGACTGTCCCCAGTGTCTTCAAGTGTCTCCCAGGAATCTCCCTCTCTCTCCCCTTCTCCGCCCCCCCCCCATCCGTGGCTTCCTCACTGTGTGTCTTTGCCTCTTTTTATACAGACCCAGGAGTCTCAAGTAAACTAACAGATAATGGGCTGCCTGGCAGGGCTGTGACTAGGATGGGAGAGTTCAGGTACAGAGAGAACAGACAGGGTGCAGATTCAAGCAGCCTCTCTCTCCTCTCTCTCTCCTCTCTCTCTCTCTCTCTCTCTCTCTCTCTCTCTCTCTCTCTCTCTCTCTCTCTCTCTCTCTGTGTCTCTGTCTCTCTCCCCCCACCTCTCCCTCTCTTCCTAGTCCTTCATCATGCCTCCATTCTAGCTTTGCTGTTTTTTTCTTTTCTTTTCTTTTTCCCTTGAAGCTATGCGCAGGTGAACTCCTTATGGGTCAGTTCTCTGCTCTCCCAGCCCAAGCTTTGGTTCCCTTTGGCGTCTGGGCAGCGTTTGTCTTCTGCAGCCCACGTCGATCTCTTTCTGCGATTAGCGTTTGTGGAAACTCATTCTACCTTTGGATCTACTCTGCCTTTCTGGAGAGTTTCCCTCTCCTAGACCCTTACGTTTGGCCCACTCTTGGGTGTGTTCTAAACTACCCTCTCACCCCTGTCGTTCTTGTGAGTGACTATGCCCGTACACTAGAGGTCAGAGGTCAGATTGCTGAGTCAGCTCTGTCCCTTCACTGTGCGGGGTGCAGGGCCGGCGACATAGGTCATCACCAGGCATGGCTACACAGTGTGCTTTGGCTTCTTAAAAATAGTCTTCGAAGCCCGGCGTTGGTGGCGCACGCCTTTAATCCCAGTACTCGGGAGGCAGAGGCAGGCGGATCTCTGTGAGTTCGAGGCCAGCCTTGGTCTACCGAGCAAGTTCCAGGACAGGCTCTGAAACAATACAGAGAAACCCTGTCTCGAAAAACCAAATATATGTATTCTTCGAGGCAGATGATCCTC